AAAATGGTTCCTTAAGAATTATTGCTTTGTTATAAGGCATGGCCAGCTTCACATTAGGGGACATTATTAATTACAATTTTAAATATCTGTGCTTGCGTGTCGATTAAGCAATGACAGATTACAAAGGATATAATATCCCCAATATTATTTTTAATTAATATATTCTCAATTCTAAATAAAATTATAGATAGCCAAAATTTTTGTTCCATTAATTTAAATTATTTGAAACAAATATATTTACATTTTGTTACAAAATTTGAATTTGTTTTTCATTTATTTTAGAAATGTACTATTTTTACCTTATGAACTTTTAATTGTTTTAATAAAATTTTATTATAGCCTTCAATATTCATATAATGTAAAAATTTTATAAAACATTGCATACTAACTCAAAATAGTTTAGACTTTAGACAATTTCGTTGCATTAATCATAATTTAAAATATGTGCATTTTCTGCAGACCCAGACGAAGTCACGTTCAGTTAACATATTCCATGTATTATACAAATGCCTCAAGTACGTCAGCCAAGCCAGAGTAGAAATAAAATTCACAAATTTAAGCAAAACTTACTTGCATGAAGTGGCCTACAGCACTTAGACGTAAAGTTATACTTTTTATCTGGTCGTTCCTCTTGGAAATGCATGAGTTGAGTTTTGGACATGTTGGACAACACACAGAAGTTTGGTGCATTGTGCCACTTTGGAATGCAGCCCCACTTTTTGTTTTCAAATTGTTTCAAATTTATTTTGCATATACTTAAAATCCTGGTACATCTGAAGATATATGTTTTCCGATATCTGAGCCGAGGCATATGCTTGCTTGTTGTGTAAATGCTTTAAGCATGTAGCATGTGTTATTAAGTTTTACTTGCATTTGATTATAAGCTCATTTGGCAATCCTTAGTGTTTTTACTTCGCTCTGCTCTGCACAGATTTTGAAATTTATTTCTTTTAACATATATTGTTTTGTAAATAAATCAAAGTATATTTACAAAAACAAAAAAAATGTAAATAAATTTAAAAAAAATATATCGAAATCCTGAACGTGTATTTTTGATACACGTGCCTGCCTTAAAAATATATATTAAAAAAATATGTAATTTTAATTCAAAAAAAGTTAAAATAAATAATGGAAAATTTACTTACTTTCACAAAAACAAAACAAAAAAAAAAACAAAAAAATTTGTTTTTTTAAAAAACATCCCAGAGATTGAAAAGGTATTATTTTGCTTTTAAGTAAATATAAAAATGATTTAAAATAATGTATTTTATCAGAAAATTGTCACAATTTGTAATCTATGCAGGCTTAAAAGCAAATGTGAACATAAAAAAGCATGAGAAATTAAATCATTTTATTAAATTTAATAAATTTAAATATCACATGTATTTTATTACAAAATATACATGTTGTTCTGTATTAAATATTAAACAATATTTATATTTTTTGAATTAAATATTACAAATTAAATTATGTTTAATGCTGCAAGAATACATAATTATAACATTGAGAAAAAATACCATATTACCATAATACCATACTAAATACATACTGAAACAATCCAATTACTTAAATAGGTTAGGTTGATATATCTTTCAGTAGTTCCTGTGTATTTGATTATTGCATTTTCTATAAGTCTACTTTTAAATATCAGATATAATTACTTAAATTAGGTTTACTTGTAGTAACTTTAAAACAGTAAAGCTTTATTATGGTACATATAGTGTAAGACAGTAATAAGGCAAGAGTTAAAGAGCAGCAGTTGTTTTATTATTAGGAGAATATAGCACCTCTATAATAGGATTAGTTTAGAAAGATAATTGTAAGAAATCAGTAAAAAATACTAAAATGTGAAATGCTGTGAATAGCTAAAAAGAACAAACGAGGTAAAACTGAGTATAATAGGACTTGAAAGCATTAATGTGAATGGTTGGTTGCAGTGGCAGACCATCAGTTAACTTACATGGAAGTTAACGATTTTTATCCCATTTTGCTACCAAATTCCTCGCAAGAGCCATTAAGATAGGAAAAGGTCATTCATCTTTGCAGATGAAAAGTCTAATGAACAGTCTATCAAAGAAGTACCTTCCTAAAAACCTATTTTTTCTGGACGCTATGTTAAAGCCTGACATTCTCAGAGAAAGTATTTTATGGTTTCTTTTTTCCTGCTGGTTCCCACAACTTCTGCAGTGAGAATTATGAGGAAAGCGTAGTTTTTCTGCTTAGTTTCCAATACACCAATGAACAGAAAGAACTGTAGTAAGCCCTGCAGTGCTCTCAGGATCTCTTTTGATGGTTGGTCTCTTGGGTAACATAAATCGGTATTGCCAGGGACACACCCAGAGAAGCACTAGAGCGGGCTAAACTTCGGTTTTTTCATTCACTTCGATATTTTTATGTCCAGGGACCCAGGTAAGGTTGATGTCAGCCAACGGGTTTAGCTCTTCGATTGCCTCTACATTCCTTTACTCTCTTTGATTTTGTGATGAACACTTCAAGAGCTTTGATTGGTGACTGGCTGTCAATGAAAATGACAACACTACCTCTATCCTTGATTTGATTTACAATTTACTGACATGCTTTCCTAATTACTATGAATATGACTGCAAGAAATAAAGATGACGGGGGAAAATATTCATCAAGTTTTGGATACGCTTATTAATAAATTTGGTTGTTGATAAATATTTTAATATATTAACCATATGTAGCTAGCTGTTGAAAACTAAGAACATTTATTAGTAAATGAGTGAAAAAATATTAACTTTGAAATAAAAACTCACTTCTTATTTTGTCAACATAAATATTAATTCGCTTACTAAAAACTTTTATTAAATTAAATTACAATATAAATTCATGTACTTTAATGACAAAAAATTTTTATTTTATCTTAAAGTTTTTCATGGTCGAAATATTGAAATTGTTAATAAATTTTATTGAAATACAGGATTAAATAGAACTAATGTGTTGTGTTTTAAATAAAAATGAAATTGATTTAATAGTTCACAAAAAGTTTTTAAAATAACACTTTTTTATTTCTGTGATTTATATTATTTAAGTATGTATATTTCTGAGTAAAGGATATGGCATGCAACCAGTCCATTGTTTCCATTGCATCAAGTACTTCAATTTCTTTTATTCAGCCATTTCCACATTTTTGTAATAATTTTATAGATTCTATACAATATTTTTTCCTTAACTTTTCAATTTAAACAATACCTAACGATGATTTTTCTTGCTTAATACTCGTATTCTTGCTCAGAAACTCGTATTACACAAATAATTATAGAAAATTATCGAAATTATAAATTTACCTAAAATTGGTTTATTGTGCAATATTCAGAAAATTCAAACTAAATGGAAATTGTTTATTTGTTATTTTTCATTGTTCCACTGATATGCACAGAAAATCCTTTGATAGGTGCCAGCCTGTGCCAGCACAGAAATGATTGAAGTAATTATAATATTTCACTTTATAGAAACTGTTAAGACTAGTATTGTGCTTGATATGCTAAGGGAAGGAGTTCTAAGACTAACTTAATACGAATAAAGTCCCTGCATAATTGTGCAGTTATTAACGCACCGGTAAAAAGGATACAATAAAAGTCATGAATATACAAAAATATTAATAAAAAAAATAGTAGAAAAATACGGCAAAAATCAAACAAATCGAAATTTAATTATAACAAAAGTTAACAGCAACAACAGTAAAACAGTAAAAACAACAGTAACAATAACAGCAACGTTAACAGTAAGCATAACAGTAGCAGTAACAGTGGCAGCAACAAGCAATAACATTAAGCCGCATTAAGCCACGTTAATGGCAACGGCTGTAATGTAATTAGATAAACATTTGCAGGCAAGTTAGCTGATTGCGTTGTTGGCTTATTAAATGAGTACGAAAAAGGATATTCGAATGCCATTAACTTAAGAAATTTTTGCTTTTATTTCTTTATTAATTTTTACTTCGTCTTAGACTATACTATCTACATTCTATTTGACTTGAATTTAGTGTTGTTTTTGTTGTTGTACCAAATGTTATTAGCAAACTTTCCAAACATGGCTGAGGCAGTGGAAAAACAAATAAACCAACAAATGTACAGAGTTGAATGCAGACTTCATTTGCATACAAATAGTTAGTAGAAATGGGAGAAATTATTTAAACTGCCATTTATACAAGAAATGGAAGAAAGTTGAATTATATAAAAACTTACTCGCTTACTCATTTATACTCGACTCGCTTACTTACTTAGAGAGTTATAAGAGATTGCAGCGAATAAAAGTTTCGCAACATTATGCTTAATTAAAACTGACCCACCAAAGGAATACTAACTGCTGCCATAAACATGAAAAGGATCTCACCAAACCAAAGCAGGCAAGTTAGTTAGTTATTGTACTTGCTTAGCTACAGATTGGCAACATGAGCAAGGATTTTAAATACTGTTGCATTTTTTCTCATTTTCTCCGTTTTTAATTTCATATATTTTTGTGTTATACTTATTATTTTATTTTTATTTTTTTTAAGATTTTTCAACGAAAGATAAAGTTTTGAACTGCATTTAACAATTTTTTACTATTTAGCCACAAGTTCGTGGCATATTATTAACACCCGCCCATTGCTATGTTATGCAGCGTGCACAACGCAGACCAGAGTTACCCAGTTTAACACTTAAGTTTGTAAAGTCGCAAATGTGCTTAATTAAACAATAAAATCATAAAATTATAAAATTATCGCACTTTCTTTGCACTAAAATAAGCTGGCCGACACTGGCGCGAATACCAAATCCAGTCATTGTCATTGCCATTGCTCCTTTCAGGATTTCTGCAAGTGCATTGAGTCGAACTCATACTCATACTCTCGCTCGTACAAAGCTGCAGTGAAATAACGTCTTGGATTGTGGTTTTCATATCCAAAATTGTCATTCCTTTTTATTACAAATATTTTTATGCTATTTTCTTTTGTTTTTTTTTTTTTATTTTTTTTAATTTTATTTTTGTCGGTGCAGTGTGGCAATGCGGCGTTGACGATTGCAACTTTGTGACTTTTGCGGTTTTGGGATTGTGTTAATGACAGCGGTTGCGGCCAGCAATTCCGTTCTTCCTTACACACTCGCATATTTTATTCTCGAAGATATATTTTCGCTGGAATGCTATTTAAGGCAAATGGGAACTGCAGCAACTGAAAAATTTAAATATTTTGACAGCAAAGTTGAATTCGTTTTATTGGCTAATAAAAATTTTCACTACTAAGCGCTAAGATTATAATTACTTTGCTTAATTAACAAAAATGTGTTTAATTATGATCATTGTGATTATTGAAATATGAGTATATATTAAAGAAGCTAATAAATGCAGTTAGTTTTATTATAACAACTTACTTTGTATTTCAGTAACCTACGGAAGCAAAATTCTTGAGATTATATATTTTGTCGTTTTAAAGTAAGAGTAAACGATATACGCTCCTAATAGAGATTTATATCAAACTTTTATATTAGAATATTACTAATACTTTATCATTACGTTTTAAGATTAGGTGTTTGAGATTTATATTAAACTTTTATATTAGAATATTACTATTTTTATTTTAGAATAGAGCAGAGCTACACAAATCATTGCCGTAAATTTGTAACCAAAATAAATATAAAATATAATATAATTGATATATACTAAAAATAAAAGAAAAACCAATAATACCACTACAAGGTTAGTTATGGTTGTACCGGCGATCCGAAGACCTCCACTTAGGCCTATTAGCCCATTGTGTTACCGCATTACCGGAAACTTAAAAAAAATTAGCTTCAACATTTAGCAAAGCCTAAAAAGCTATTTAATAAAAGATCTTGCAATTGACTAAGTTACACAAAAAAAGAATGATAAGGCAGCGACGAGCATGCACCCGGCAAGTACAAAGCAGATGAAAGGCACTTTCATCGACCTCTCCATGACTGCGATAAGAATAATTGAAAGCGAAGATTCAATTTTCTAACATGGTTTGCGAATCTCCTATGATCTGAGAGTAAATCTACCACAAGACTGATATCTCCACGGGGCATCGCGATGGAAGCATTGGATTTCTTTCTTATAGAACATCGCCAACTTGCATTTATATACCTACATATCGCTGTTAACGATATAAATTCAATAAATTTTTGTTGTTGTCTTTTCATTGCTATTCGAATTCGTCTTACTTTTAAATAGTTTCTTTTCGTCATAAAGACGCGTCACTCTCGGCAAGAAAAAGTTAAAATTAAAACAAAACAAATAAACAAATAGGGGAAAAAATTACTTTAAGTCAATAATGAATTGGTTATTTAGAACATATGACAATTTTGTTTACAAGCGATAGAGTTTGAATTTTTTAAGCATTAAATGGTAGACTAGAAAAGTAAATAGCAAGGAGAAGAGAAGTTTTCGTTTCCTCCTGAAAATTTTTTTTATTTATGGTATTGAGAGTGGAATCTGTAGTACTGACAGAAATCCAGAATATTTTTACGTGATTAACTGTCCTGAAGACTTAACACCACGGTGCTCTTAACACACGTGTCGGTATATTGCGCCGATAAACGCTGGATTGGAATTCCTAAGAAGGCCGCCGGTACCAATTGAAACTAAACATTTGGATATAGTTTCCTCCTTGGTGGGAAACGAGGCCTGCCTAACTTCTCTTTTAATACATTGAATGAAAGAAAATGAGTACAGTCATTCTTCCCGCGTAAGTTTGGATATCAACCACAGCCATTATGACTCTGTGTCAACCATCACTTCGCCAGGACAGCCGAAGCTTCAGGCATCTAAACCCTGGTGTACCAGTGTTTACACCTTCATTCGGGTTGTCGTAAGTGCAGTGTCACTTACTACCATGCACACTTCAAAACAGTGTCGACATAGCGTCGGGATTTTAGACAACTCTTACGACAGACATGTCTACCTCAGGAAGATTTTAACTCATTTCCCGCAGAGGGTCGACAGTACTGACAATATGTAGTGTCTAATTCACCACCTATTGTCATCCAAAAATCTAATGAAGGGGAAAGTGATTCAATATCTAAACAAGTAGTGATCAGTCAAATGATGTGAGCATTGTTTATACGTTTTTTAATGTACGCTAGCATCAATGTGGACTAAGACATAAATGTATTTTTTCTTAATAATTATAAAAATCATTTTGGACAGGTACTTACTCTGAGAAGATTGAAAAAGACTGACAGACGTTTGGAAAAAAATGTGTTAGGACATGTATATCCACGTATTATAAATACTTTCTGTATAACTACAAAAAAAAAACCAATTATATAATTTTATAAAGATTAGAACATTATTAACATAAAATACTTAATTAAATAGCCAACAAAATTTTAGTTAACAACTTAAAATCACAAGTCGCTAGACAAATGAAAAATATATTTGATTAACGTTTAAATATACTGCAAAGTTTGTCTGATACTATTTATCGGGCAGCCAGTTTAACAGTGTTGTATTGACCTACAACCAAAAAAACTGGTGATTAATTTAAGGACAATACAATTTACTATGCCACATTATTCATTAATTAAAATTTTGTTCTATTTATTTTTTTTCAAAGAAATTAAGCCTAAATAAATAGTCTTTATATTTTTCTAACTTAAGAAGACCGTGCTTCCTATTTTTGTTCCTTTTTTCAGAAAATACGAATATTTCATGTAAATGTAAACTACCTTATCCTTAACACACCTAGTCATGCCATTTGACTTCCGTTTCCGCTGCGATACGTCCCCTGCTACTTATTATTACCACATAAAGCTCAAGTTATGAATTGGTTTTTATTGGATTTAGTTGATCTAGAGTATTGATATGAAATAGCGTAGTGAAATGACGCTTAAAGATTTCAAATCACTTTCAAAATGCGTTCACAGGACAAAGAATTTCCTTTTGCCTTGTATAAATTACAACAACTGCAAGGAGCAAAGTAATAAAGCAATTATAAATACTCGCTTTATTCATTTGTAGAACGTAAGCGATTAGAACAATAGCCAACAATTGCTTTTGTAATTGTTATTGTTGTACTTCATTTTTGTATTGTACTTTTATTGCCATATTCCGATAGCACCCTGTATTGAGCGGAAACGGAAATAATTATTGTAGCATAAAAGTGGCAGGAATTACAAACAAACGTTTCATTTTGGTTGGTTTTTGACTGATTATTTTTTATTATGTAAATTTGAAATATATTTTATTTATTGGGATTAATTGGGAGTTTCAATTGCAAACGTCAAAATATATATATATATATATTTTCCATCAAATTTTGTTTTCTCTTTTAGTTACTAAATTTTCGTATCATAATGTTTTGGATTACTTACAATAGAACTGTAGGATAACAATAGTTCTAAATTTGCATAGTGTATTTACCATTCAGTCCATCCATTTACCATTCAATAGGTCGTTTCAGTCTCTTCAATAGCCTCCTATTTGGTAATAGAGAACTTTTGGAGATAAGAGATTGTCAATATTTAGAAGTTCTAACGATAGAGGAAGAAAACAAAATCTTGGCATGCAGAGAACGTAGTCTTAACATAAGACTAATAACAGAAACGACACTATACTGAACAATTATCTTAAAAATCAATCAAACTATAGATAATAATGCTTCCCAGATATACTAAAAAAAATCCAATTATTATTTACAGGTAATGACAATTCCTAGAAAAGACTTTAACTTACATTAATTTTCATCAATATATATTCAAATTCAGGAACAAATGTGTGTTATATATTATTTAAGGTGACTTATATCTACTAAATATTGAAAATAAAAACAAAGCCACTCATACAAGTCCTCAAAACGTCTATAATGTTTTTCCTCGAAATCACACAATTTTATAAAGATATAAAATGATAAAATAGAAATAAAGTTTACGAAATCCGATAAAGCAGCCATCGTTATCTGTATCAGATTACTGAAAAATGCCCTTCGAGATATTTAAATCGCTTCAGCTACTATCCTAGGCAAAGATATAGAATGAAAGATAGATATAAAATCAGGAAAATCCAATAAATCAATCATTGTTATCTGTACAAAACTATGGACAGCAATTTACGATACATTGAAGTCACTTTAGCTACTGTCTTAAACACAGTCATAGAATCAAATAAATATAATGATTTCTAGAAAGATGAACAGTTAGGCAACAAAATATTCTACAATTTTTTCTTATTCAGTAAACTGGCTTGATGAAATGTGAAACCAAGTGAAGCTTCAGCGTAATAGCATATTTTCCCATTGGTAGACCCAATTTACTAAAACATATGCTACTCAAGTCTCTAATTCATCAGAAGGTATCATACAGTGAGATTTGTTATCTAATGGATACCTAAAAACTGTGCACATATTCAAATATTGTTCCAGAAACATGAAGAAATATCTATTAAACTCTTCTTAATTTGCATCTATTAAGTCCACCTCTAGCGTTACTTTTTATTATAACTGGATTTTAATGTGATAAGTCACTCATATATAATTAAACCATAATATCATCAATTATTGTAGAAGAAAAAGTAACTTAATATAGAAGGGTTCGAACACTAATGAAGCATAAACAACAAAAATTGTAGTTATTTTATTGAAGTTTGGCTAACCAAACAAAGCTGTTTCAAGCATTGCCAAGTACTCAACATCAGTGATCTTTAGGAAATATTCAAATTTTTATTTAATTATTTTATTTTAATTTTGTACATTTTCTTTGAAAAGTAATTTAGTTAAGTCATCACACAATTATCGAGATAGTCCTAAATCTCCATGCATTTTTTGCAAGACTGTACATTAAAGAGCTTCAAACTGTTGTTTATAGTTTAATTTGTGTTCAATTTTTGCTTTTGTTAAATTTATTTTAATATTATATATTCTTTTCTCGTCCTTGCATATGTTAAAAATTAGCAATGAGCATAAATTAATTTTTATATTAAAATAAGAAAATATCTTAAAACAATAACACATTAGTTACTGTTATTATGTGCAACATGCTCTGGAAACTATTTTAGCAAAAATATTGCAACGTTTAATAGTTACCAACTCACTCGGTCGGATATATAAAT